CTACCATTTAAACACAACCTTAGGGCTACGAAAAAAAATTAAACTTAAAACCTCTAAATTATTAAAAATCCTAGTCCACAACTAAACCATCACAAATAATTTAAAATCATGAATTTGAATGTCATCCACCAGATCCCAATAATAATGACGGACTAACAAAAATCCACAATGTCAAGGAATAACGACAATAGGTAATCACATATTAACCATAGTTAGTGCTAACCATGGTTAAGTTATGGAAATGTGTTGGCTAGTGAGGCTAGGGTTCCTATCTAGTACTTTATAACCAGCCTAAATAAATATTGAAACAAATCTAAGATATTCAGAGAAATCTCCACCGCCTCTCGCTACCGCCTCTCTGTCCGGCAACGAACTGCGAATCAGATACAGGTGAATTTGCTCATTGTTTCACATAATTTCCATTCTCTGGAGCTAATTTGCGTTTTTTTTTTTTGGCGGTTTGTTTTTCAATATTTAATTCTGATTGATAGATCTGTGTTTTTTTGTGCCTTTTTTTTTTTTTTATATGCGGTTGATAGATCTGTTGACGGTTCTTATTAATCGTTTTTGTTTTGATAAATTTGATTCCTAGATTTGATTGGCTTTGTTCTAATATCCTTGTGGTTATGTGTGGTTGTGTGTGCGTATTATAGTTGTATATATAACGTATATTTAGGTTTTTTTCAGTTTACAATTGTCTGTAGATCGATATTCTTGCACGATTTTTTGGGACTCTCTCTCTCTCTCTCTCTCTCTATATATATATATATATATATCAATTTATATTATATATGCATATGTATTCTTCGGTGTATGCAACTTTTTTGGGGAGCTTTGGGAGATGTTTGTGCTGAAGATTAATCTCTGTTGATCCGGGAAGTCCCTTTGATAAATGTTTTGGTACAGGGAAGTAGAACAAAGTCACGGATTGGTTCTGTGGCTGGAGATTTGGCTGGAACTTTATTGATTTTTTCTTTTGGTTTTTCCTTATTTTTCCCAATTTGTTGGCTTTATAATCTATTGGTTCAGCCTGGTGGAAGTTGTATAATTTTGCTAACAAATCTTAAGGAGCAGATCTATGATATTTTCATATTTGCGATTTTATTGATTGATTGGGATTTCTTTAGATTTTGACAGCCTAGGCACAAGGTCATGTGGTGAAATATAAAATCAACTTAAGGCCTAGTTATTAAGAGCTTTTCCATCTTGATCTTGACCTGGTTTTAGTCTTGATTGCAATTCTTTTGTTACTCTTGTTGTGAATGATTTATTCAAACTTATGTATTTGTTCCATATATGTTGCTACAACATTTCTTCATTGACTGTTCCAACTTAATTTTAAACTTTGGGACATCCTGAAAAGGACAGGTCTCTAAATTTGGGGACATGGAATTTTTATATCTCACGACATTGCAAGGTGTTACTTAAACACAAGTCCTTATATGTTACCTTAAATCCAAATTCCAGATGTTGAATCTCTAGTATGTGCATGGCTGCACCTTTGGCTTCATCTAAGGAAGTTTTTCCTGTGATTATTAATCCGTAATTATTTAAAATCAACCTCTTTCCTGCTACTGGTCCAACCTGATTTCCACCTTGATTGGTGAAAATAGTAAAGTGGGTATGGACACAATGATATTAAAATCATATTTCAAGGGTTAGTTCCTGAATAAGAAGTCGTCCCCAAAAAAATACATCGTGAGCTTGAGTACTTGGTGCAGTCGGTTAAATGTCGAGTCCCCATATGTTTAAGTGGTTATTTAATGCATGGTTCATATTGGCTTGAACTATTTTAGTGGGTCATACTGTAGTTTTGGCTCTTAATGGCTGCTTCTATTATTGCCACTTGTGATTTGCATGAATGCATCGACTGATTGTTAAGGAAAGTGTAGTGCTTCTTGGATAGAATCTTCTTGGCAACATGTAATCAGTTTTCAGATTTAGGTGATATCTGCAATTCTTGAAAAAGAGAATTTCAAATACACTTTAATATAGTAGAATTCAACATCTTTTGTTTAGTGTACACTGTACATGCAATTCTAATAAACTTGGCTAATTAATTTGTGTTGTTGCACAATATTCCACTGAATTTCACTTCTTAGCTAAGCATTCCATTATCTTTATATTTGAAGAATTTAAGATTCTTTTAACACAACATGTGTCTTACTTTACTCCCTTTCATTATGTGGAGGATCTTTTGTATGAGCACCAATTTAATGAAATTCTAAATAGATTTATAGTAGGAAATATAGGTTTTGTGGTTCTTGTGGGAGCTTTAATGTGTCTAAAGCGGGAACAGGATTTGGCCCAATGAACACCGACATGGTTAGTTGGAGTAAGGGTGGCTGAATATGAATTAGACTTGTGTTTTCTTCTGCCATAATAACCCCTAAACTGGTCCCATAATCCATAAATAAGCCCAAGACAAAGGCCTCATCAGGGCAGCCAACAGCTACAGGCCAAGCACAAAAGACCAAAATGCGTGTTTCATGAAATGTGAATAAAACTAAACACTAACTAAGGAAAATAGGGTCTCTTTGGTTTGCATCTGTAAAACAATTTTTCTATTTTTGGAGATGAAAAAAAAAGAGAAGTTGTTTGGACTGCAGAGTGCAGAGCATTGTATCCAATTTTTTCAAAACTGGGGACAAAAGGTCAAAATTTTAAAGAATACTAATAACATATTTTTGCTAGTTTTGAAACAGTTTCGAAAAAAATTGAGAACACGGGATGCAATCTATTGTGCAATTAAAGGCATCATTTAAAAGTAAAAAAATTTCCTCTCTTGTTTATGTCTTTCATACTGCTTCCAACTAAGCCTGATTGATTACTTTAAATTTCTTAGTCTCGTTTGAAGCTCTGGCCCTTCAAGTGGCACAAGCCTACGAGAAGAGCTCCGATCAGCTTCTAACAGGCTCCTGAAGAATGCTCTTTCCATATCCTGTGTCTTTTCGTTGATTGATTTTACTTATTTTCTTAAGGTTGGCTTTTTGCTTAACTTTGGTCTTATGCAAACCAGAAATTTGAGATCTATGATGTTGGCTTTTTTTTTTTGTCATTCTTCACAGTGAGGGGAAGGATGACATCTTTGCTGCATGTTCGATTTTTGAAGTTAATTTTTTTGTTGGCTGAGATCTGTCCATGGTCATTCAATGCTTGTCCTTTATCCTTGAGTATTCTTTTTAATTTTTTTTGAAAATTTTGTGGTTTAATTTCTAGTATCAGTGCAATGTTGAGAGTTCTGTGAGGAAGTCTTATTCGTCCACATATTGTATAATATTGGCTGAAAAAGAAAATCGTGGTAATACACCCACCCTCACCCTTGCCGTCTCCCTATTTTGCAGAAGAATTTTACCAAAAAATCAATTCAGATTATATCCCATATTTTTATTTTTTATTTTGGATCGCTGTCCAAACATGTGTTACTATAACCACACATGTTTCGGGATACAAAAAAAAATCAAAATCACTCTTTTGTGAAACTCTTCTTGAAAACATGTTTTTGAATATTGTTTTTTTAAAACATATCCAAACCACCCTTTGTTTCCTAGGAAAGTTCTACGTTATAATCTTGCCAAACAGCTCCCTTTATCTGGTATACTTTTTGAGTATATCATTAGCATCACCTGCATCCCAGCCCTTTGCCTATCCTGTCAGTCTAGGGCCGCTAGAGAAGTTGAGAATGCTCATTGTTCTGCCATTTCTTAAATTTGTCTGGATCAATAGAATTATACCCCATCAACTGTGCAAGTCAAGAGCTGCCATGATATTTTCTTTGTGACAGTTTCATATCATCAATGGTAATGGAAATGCATTACTAACTGCGACTTGGCCTTACCTAGATTAGAGTTGAATAAGAAAATTGTGTTATATTTGGCTGGATTGCTATTTCATATATTGTTGGTTCTCTTTTTTTCCTTGGGAAACCCTTGAAGAAACAAGATTTTTAAGAATGTATTGGAGTGCATGAACATTTTTTCTGTACAATGGAGATTGCACTTACATTTCAACGTAATTTTTTTTCTCTTTTAGGAAGGGTGAACTCTCCTAGGACGCTTGGATATGAATATGGGATATCAAAATTTAGTATACGTATGATGTGTTGTATACTAAAAAATGGGCATATGGATATACCCAAAATATGTTTATAATAAAATGTATTTTATATTTTTATGCTTGACAACTTGGTAATTATAATTTCCAATAATTTTTTAACAATAATACTAAAAATTAGTAATTTTTAGTTATAAGAAAGTATTGATCGTCTCATTATGATATATTATGATGTAAATAGTTGGTTTGATTAGAAATATGCATTGCATTATATGTGAATTCAAGAGGAAAAAGCAAAGATTAAAACTAAACATTTTCTCTGTGTATACATTTTAATATTTGAAGCATTTGCATGGTGAATATGTATTTTGGCAAATTATCCAATTTTTTTATTATTGGATAATATGGTGTTTATAAGTATTCTCGAAAATCTGACGAGTATTGTATTTCATACTATATTTGATACGTATGTAGACCTTCTCAATAGGGATATGTATATTTTAATGAAGTATTCATGGTTCATAGGAGCTCTCTGATGTTTTTACTTCTGCTCAATATGCACCAAGTGATGTAATCGGTGTTTAATAACTTGGAAAACCATTACAAACTGCTCTTTTGCACACTTTTTACTGAATGAAATCAATTACTCATATGTGGTCCGACTTCAGCACCCTTCTTTCTTTTTTACTTCTATTTGCTTTTTTTGATTGGGGGGGGGGGACTACTGTCCTATTTTTTTGAGTGATATCATTTGTTTTTTACTTTTGCCTTTACCAGTGTAAGTATGCTCTCTTGGAATTCATGTTTATGAACGTTGTCCTATTCTCGTTTCTTTGCCTATTTTAGTTCTCTTTTAGGTATTTTTTGGGTTTTGTACCTTGTCTATTGGCATTTGCCAATTTTTTCTATGGTGTAGTTGTGTGCTTATCTGGTTTTTTTGGTAGGTGTTTCATTTCAGTTTTAATAGTTCTCTACAATGGCGGATGGTCATGAAACCGATAAGAACATTGAAATATGGAAAATCAAGAAGCTTATCAAGGCATTGGAAGCTGCTCGAGGCAATGGTACCAGCATGATTTCTCTTATTATGCCTCCAAAAGATCAAATAGCCCGTGTTACTAAGATGCTGGGTGATGAGTTTGGAACTGCTTCTAACATTAAGAGCAGGGTGAACCGTCAGTCTGTTCTAGGTGCAATTACTTCTGCTCAGCAGAGACTGAAGCTCTACAATAAGGTTCCTCCCAATGGACTTGTGCTTTATACGGGAACCATTGTGACCGACGATGGGAAGGAAAGGAAGGTCACAATTGACTTTGAGCCTTTCAGGCCCATAAATGCATCTTTGTACCTATGTGACAACAAGTTTCATATAGAAGCTCTGAATGAACTTTTAGAATCTGATGACAAATTCGGTTTTATTGTTATGGATGGTAATGGGACCCTTTTTGGGACATTAAGTGGCAACACCCGAGAGGTGCTTCACAAATTTACTGTTGACCTTCCTAAGAAACATGGAAGAGGAGGTCAGTCAGCTCTTCGGTTTGCTCGTCTTCGAATGGAGAAGCGCCACAACTATGTGAGGAAGACAGCAGAGCTTGCCACGCAATTTTTTATTAATCCAGCTACCAGCCAGCCCAATGTTTCAGGACTAATACTTGCTGGATCAGCCGACTTCAAGACTGAGCTGAGTCAGTCCGATATGTTTGATCCCCGACTTCAGGCAAAAATTCTGAATGTTGTGGATGTCTCATATGGAGGAGAAAATGGCTTTAATCAGGCGATTGAGCTGTCAGCAGAGATCCTCTCCAATGTGAAGTTTATTCAGGAGAAGAAGTTGATTGGCAAATACTTTGAAGAGATTAGCCAGGATACTGGGAAGTATGTCTTTGGTGTGGATGACACATTGAAAGCTCTGGATATGGGTGCTGTTGACATACTTATTGTGTGGGAAAATATGGACATGAACAGGTATGTGTTAAAAAATAGCACTACTGGCGAAATCATCATAAATCACTTCAACAAGGAGCAAGAGGGGAATGAGAAAAATTTCAGGGATGCAGCCACCAATGCTGAATTGGAGGTTCAGGAAAAGATGCCACTGCTTGAGTGGTTTGCTAATGAATACAAACGTTTTGGTTGTACACTAGAGTTTGTCACCAACAAATCACAAGAGGGATCTCAGTTTTGCAGAGGTTTCGGTGGAATTGGGGGAATCCTCCGCTACCAGCTTGATATGCGATCATTTGATGACCTTTCTGACAATGGAGAAACCTACGAAGATTCTGAATAGCAATCAATAACTATTCCAATGCCGGTGCAGGAGGATGGTGGCAAAAGGCCTGCACTGGTGCGCGGGTGCTCGCGCGATTCGACTGCTCCTGTTGCCCAAAAAGTTTAAAAAGGAATCATATGAGGTTAGTTCCTGAAAGTTTCTCTCTGCATATTTGTTTTGTTTGGCACCTTCAACTATGAATGATTATTATTGAGGTTGCTGTTTATTATTGTCGTTTTGATCTCTTTTCTCCCATAATGGCTTTGATCCCTCTCTCTGTGTTATTAACATTAGAGGATTTTCTTATATCATAGCTAAAGCAATCTTATTGTGTCTATTGGATGTCGATTTTATGATGTACCAGTTGGAGAAACCTTCTGGAGGAAAGAAAGTGTCAACCCCTTCTTCCTACGATCGTAGAGGACAATGTGAAGTTTGCGTTTGCTTTTGTATCAACTAGACTGTGTGCTGAATGAGACCATGGGGATCAGTATACCAGCGTTTCAGGAACTTCATATATGGCTATTGTTGTGGGGAGCTACTTCTATGGTTATACTCTTTGAAGAGGAAATTCCTTTGCATCAATTAAAGTACTTCTACATTTTCTATGAACTAGAATATATATGTCTTTGGTGTGTATGTGGTCTATTGGCGTCCTGGCCGGATGGACCATGGTTATTATCCTGTCATCAGTTATGACATTATGGTTACTTATTTTCAAAGTACTTTATATAGTGATTAACTAGTTATAAAGTGGTGTTCTGCTGTTTTTATGGGAGGCATGAAGTAGGTTTTTTGAGTTGGGAGGAGGATTTGTAAACACAGGTCATTCGCACCTGTTGGCATGTTGCAATATATTAGCCTCCTTGGTAGGATTATCATGTCTCTAATATGCTGTGCAATTATGTGATTTTATGGTAGTTTTCTCATGAGTGGGTACTGTTGTTAGAATGGTCGGAATAAAGAAGGCCTCTGGTGTGGCTTTATTTTGGACGCTTACGAAGTATTTTTATTTTTGGGGTAGACGCAACTCCTGTATTGCATCTCTGCTAATGTTCAGCGATAGTCTTGTTGGGTCGAGCCAGTGTCCTAGAATCTACCTTCGAAAGCCCTTGTATGTGGTTAGCTTCCAGTGCACCCAACAATTAGTGGAATTCAACTCAGAGACAGTTGAACTCTACCCAACCCACCGAAGCTTTGTCCCAACTTTTTTGGGAGTTGGCTATTTGTACTCCCGTATATAATTCAACGCCAGAGCTGGAGTGGAACTCAACACCAGACCACTCGGTTACGGGTTATGGACGGGCTATCTTGGCAGAAAGAGCAGTTGTGAACAACTACTCAAAGATGATGTACCTAGTGGTCTAAGGAAACAGGGACTAATCATCTGTGAGAACATAACTCAATCCTGATGTAAATCGGTCTCTTTGATTTTTAGCATAATTCATCTTTTTCCTGTTTTCCGACAGTGTATAGTTGTTCTGGTTCTTGTTCTTGTTTGGGGTTCAGCAGCCTCATCCTTCTTCAGAGCCACAATGAAATGCTGTGTCACCTTCAACTATATAAAAGTTGTCTAGTTGACTTAGGTTCTTGAGCTAGGCACCCTCCAAGTTTAACCTCCACAACTTGTGCTGCTTAATCAAAGTATTTGGCTGGGTTGGACTGTTAAGCTTTTAGCTTTCTGGATCATTTTATATGATTTTCTTGAATTCTGTTAAACAGTGTCACCATTAGTGTATACGATGTTCTGTGGGTGGGCGCAATTTCTTTCAGTGTTAAGCAATCCCTCTTTGTCATGTTTCACCATATGGATTACCTATCTTTTAGTTTTCTCCCACAAGCATGTGCCCATCACTCCAGCAATAACACCGAACCGAAGATGAAATATAGAGTCCCTAGTAGAGAAACAACCATTAGATTGGATTTGTTGTAAAATTGAGATTATTTTGTTTCTTTACTAAGGACATCGCAAACATTTGCAAGGCATAGTATACGTTGATGAGTGTAGGAATCTTTTTGAGGTGAACTAATATGTTCCGTTTTTGTTTATTTAATATGTTTTTTTCCTTGATTTGTGATTAAGAACAAGAACCTCCTAGCTCCTCATTATGCTGTTGCCCAACACACCCTTTTTCTGTGCTTTATATTATATATTAAGAACTGAATCAATTCTCATGTGTATTAGACCTTAATTCTTGATTATTCCTGCTTAAACCTAATCAATACTTGCCTTAATCCACTGATCTGTCTGTCTGTCTGTCTTAGAGGTGGACCCTCAATTATTGGACAGCTAGGGAATGGTAGGCATAAATGACAGTGACATATAGGGTGGATCTGATTAAATATCAAAATTACTTTTCTTATGCATTCACACCAATTCCCTTGTCTTAATCTACAGGACCAAGAACCTTGATTTCTAAGGCTTGGAGCCATAGATGGATGAGATATGGGCACTAATTTCATGTATTTTGTTCCATATCGTTTTGTGAAATACTTTATAAATGTGAGTTTTGAGCTTTTAATATACAATACGTTTTAAAGTCATACGAACTTAACCTGAAAATCTCCACAACATTGCAAAAAACCTTGTGATTAGAATGACCAAGACTAAGGGATGAATTATTGGTATGTACAAAAGTAATCAATGACAGGACTCAAATATAAACAGGAACTACTTTTTTAGCCCCTACTTCAAAGAACCACCGTGGTGGGATCCACTTCTCTTCATGCATGTTTTGTATTGTGTTACGCTCTTGCACAAATGTATCCAGCAATAAAATAAAGTTTGAGCACCAATGATTGTGGTGTTATTATGTCACAATCAAACAGTGGTCTAAGAATATTATCAATTATCTACATGCGTATATGTGTGTGTGTGTGTGTGTGTGGGGGGAAAGAAAACAATAACCAGCCAACTAGTCCTCCAAAAACAGATGAGGAATATAGTAGTTGATCTGTTAACAATCTTTAATTTTCTTACTAGCGATGAGAACAAAACATCTAATCAACTCTTATTTTTAGATGTGACGCCAACAGTTCTGATCATTGCGAGTGTCCCACTTAATACTTATAAGTATGGTATGGATGTAAGTTTAAAAGTGATAAAAAAATGAAACTCTTCAAAAGAAAAAGATACCCAAGTACCCCAATTATAAGGTAGGGTATTTGATATTGCACAAATTAATATTGCGTAAAATTAACAGTTGAATATATAAATTGGTGTAATTAAGGAGTCAATAAACAAGCAATTAATGGCAACACAATGAATAATAGTAAACACAAAGATTTATAGTAGTTCGGTCTATGTAATCTACTTCACTCTCGAGAACGATAACAGTGGCTGAAAATCTTTATTGATGAATAATGTAATCGAGAGAGTAATTCTGAGAGTATTACAATGCTTTGAGTGAGAAAGCAATGTGTGTTCTCAAGGTGATGTCCATGTCTCCCTCATTGTGGAGAGAGCTTATATTATATAAGTTCAATAAGGCGAAGAAGCGGTGACATGAGGGAGAGAGTTTTTACCATTTTGGTAAGTACAATTATATTAGGATTATATTTCCGTATCCTGATATTCTTTTCCTCGTGCTCCTATTCAATCGGAGGAAAATCCTGAGCTAGACTTGATGGGTCAAGCCCAATCTCAACTGAAGAGTCTAACCTTATAAAAATCCATCAAACCCAATATAGTCCAAGTCTAGTCAAACTCATTAGCTTGGCTAAGTCGTCAAGAGAGAGAGCATTAGAGCCTTACCTGCACCTCCGAGGAAACAGTCCACCCTCACCTCATCCTTGCCGCATCTCATGGAGAGTACCTTAACCACCTTGTCCGTTGAGAATAAGTTGTGAGCTTCACTGAAATAGTTATTTAGTTGTTGTAAAGTCGCCTCAACCTGTTAGGGGGCGCCTATAAATTGTAAACTCCACCAACACTTAGGGGGCATGACACTTTTACCCGAGCACGACTCTCTCCTCTTTCTCAAAGCTTGTACTCTCTGCTCCCCACACCCTTGAGCTAATAAAGTACCCAGCGACCAAAGCCATTTAAGAGTGGATGTAGGTCACGTTGATCAAACCATTATAAATCTTGTCTCCTCTATCTCTCTTTACTTTAATTACTGCATTTATTTTCAATCACTTGACAAGTGGTGTGCAAAATTATTTTGTGCATCATCAGGGCTGAACTTGATCCTAAACTTGGACTTGAATTGGAATGTGCTAGACTTGCATTAGAGTCAAGAGGATGACGAAAGACCAGGGGACCAGGCCTTGGGCGACGCCTGGCTTGGGTGGCCCTTGGACTGCACCCCAAGTGTTTTGGGCGTTGACTTCTTGATGTCATTTTGGATTCCATCTTGATGGATTGATTCAGTTCCAATTAGGCTCTTTTTTAAACTTTTTTGATTTATTTAAATTAGATTTAGTCCAGTTAAATTTGGGCTCATCAATACTTAAACTTGAACCTAAAGAGGTCCTCCCTTCTCCTACCTTTATGAGTAAGTTCCCCGAGCAAAGCTCTTCGATGGTTGGCCTGTGATGTCACACTTGAGTATTTTTGGATTGGAATGTAATTTCTTTCACTTTTTTTAAGTTTTAATTTTAAGACTCGATTATACGTAATAATCAGGTCTCAAAAGTTCGATTGTATGTAGGGGTGTTCACTCTACCCTACGGATAGGTTTCTTATTTAATATTTTACGGAAGAATTTTTTCTTGACCAACCCTATCTGATTAGGTGTGGTATTCCTACCCGACTTCCTACCTGATTAATCGGGTAAGAAGTTGGATAAACACTTTTGTACCTATTAATTTTTGAATCATTTTAATAATTTAATTAAATAGCATGCACAAATTTAACAACATAATAAATCAATAACACTAAAACCTAAAACAATTATAACAATAATTACAATAAAATATAAGAAAGTACGAATATTAATTTATCATAATTGTTACACAAATACAAATACAATTATTTTAAGTTTAAACCATATGAAACACATTAAAATTATAACTGGTCCAATAGATCACCAGTTCACCACAAATCATGTAACTTACACAAAAAATAAGTCTATATTTTTGCAACTTAAACATCCACAACATTTATAATATAAATTATATCACACAAATACTCTTATAATTACTAAAAATAATATACAAAAGTTAAATATATTTTTTGCAGATAGGATAGGGTAAGAATGCGAAAATTGATAGGTATTCCGCCTTCCTACCCGATTTAATCAGAAAACCAAAAAATTTTCTGCATTCCTACCCGATTTTTACGACTAACCGTTAAGTAGGGTATGATAAGATCAGGTAGAATAAGAGATTACGACCAATCAAAAATTTGAACACCTCTAATTGTACGTAACAATTCGTACATAACAAGCCTGTCCCGAAAGTCGGTAAAGAATGATTTCCCCTTGGACTTCAGTTGGATCGTGCACTTTCCGAAAATGTAACCTAATAAGAAGCAGTAATAACTTGCATTCAATTCAACATTACAACTTGTTATGTTGGATCGAAGATTTCGATATCTTTTAAAAATTGAAAGGTCTCGAAGTGTGATCTCAGGCTGCCCCAACGGGAGAGTGTAAAGCCAAAAAGCTCATATTTGGTTGTTGACCCATCACCCCCAAAATCTATCTCTTTTGTTTTTTTTTTTTCATTTGTATTCGTATGATATTTGTTAGAGTGTCGATCGAAATAAATTGTGTTGTATTTAAAAATCATATTATTTAAATTTTTAATTATTTATTAATCAATTTCAATCTACTAATTATGTCTCGTATTGACTAATTGTGCCGCCAGGATTTCAACCTCAACTTGGACATGTATATGCTAGTTGGGAAGAAACAATGTGAATAATGTGGAATAGTCGTGACATCCACATGTTCTTGACCAGGTCTTCCCAATCCACGTGTGCTATTAGGTCAGCACCTAAAGGTTATACCTTTCCTTGTGATTATTCTACCTTCGTTAATGTCTATTTGGACCATTTCTATCAACTGGCACTGACATTTACACCCATAGACTCACACCCACACCCCCCATAAAACCACTTTTAAGCATTTTTTTTTAATAGTCATGAGTGGTAGGAGCAATTTATGTATATTTACATTAATTTTATTTTCTGATTCGATCAAAAACAAATAATCTACGTCGAGACAAGGGTATCTATGAGGATAAATTTCTTATGACCCTAAAGAATTGTCAAGATTTAAACTTAAAATATCTGAATTTACTGTTCGTTCCTATTATCACTTGAACCGGTCTTTGAATTTTACTTTTTAAGTTTTAAGCATTCAAGCAAAAGGGTTATTGTCAACAACGTGCACCGCTTCTTACCATGATTTTAGAATCTTATTTGTGTTTTGGTTTCAGACATTACCTAATTGGGTACATGCATCTCAGCTGTTTCTGTAATTTCATATTGAAAGACATGATCAATACCACACGTTAATCCATTAATTTGCAGCCAGTGTCTTTCTTTATGTTCGGCACACTATCATTTATACGCGTGATTGTAAAAAAATGAGAATAGATGAGAGATGACTTGCGGGAAAATGAGTATTCATCTAAAATTGTCTTATTTGGATTAAAAGTAAACTATACGTATTGGACGGTGAACGTATATAAGAATATTTGTATAGATCCGTGCATGAATGGACTAAACTCATCCCCAATCTACCCGTAATATATATATATATAAAGTAGTTAGTTTTATTTGTCTTGTGTTTTTCGCAGTTTAAATCGTTTAAGGATTATTAATCTGATGATCCTATTTAGACTTTTATTCTTTTTAAAATTTTAAGACTCTTATCTCTCATATAACTCTCTCTCCATCTCATACACCCAACTCTCATACGTATATAATTTTCTATCTCTTAGACATTTTAAACACACATTCTTCCATCCCTATCTCTTTTATATATATATATATATATATATATAATAAAAGTCTATTTAGGATTTCGTAGTTCAGATCATTTGAAGATTATTGATCCGACGATTTTAATTGAACTTTCATTCTTTTTAAAACTCTAAGACTTTTATGTTTCATATAACTCTCTCTCTCTTTTTATCTCATACACTTAACTCTCATACATGTGTGTGTGTGTGTATATATATATAATGAAAGTTTAATTAGGATTGTCAAGACAAACAATAATATCTCATACTCTCTCTCTTTTATCATTATTTGTCTCGATGATCCTAATTAGATTTATTTACTCAAATTATTTGTATGATTTTATAGATGAGAAAATATTTAAATAATAAAAAAATTCTCAATTATAGACATTCAAATCCAAGTTAATTACCAATAAACAATAACAAGTAATACCAATTGCACCCAAAAAACAAAAAAAAATTCAAAATCAAGTTAATAACCGATAAAAATAAATAACATGTGATATCAATTGCACCCAATAAAACTAAAAAATTCAAAATCAAGCTAATTACTAATAAAAAAATAACAATGACCAACAAAAAAAATAAATGAAACTAATTGTACAAAAAAAAATAATATTCAAAACCAACTATCATTTTTTTCCTTATTTGTGTCGTTTTCCCTTTATTAATGTTCATATTTTTTGAGTATTTAAATAGTACAAAATAGACACCAAAACAACAAAAATGTCAGTTAAATCAAATTTTTTTTAAAGTGATAAAATTTTGATTTTGTTAATTTGGTTTAATTGTAACATGAAAGTATTTATGTCGAATCCGAGAAGTCACAACAATAGAGATTTAAATTAATTGTTATCACAGTTACAAGTAAATCCGCTAGACAATAATAGTTTAGTTGAATTTTTTCTTTTTTTAAAAAAAATTGATTTGTAGTTCAATGTAAACTAGATAACCTATTCATTAGATTTACTCAGAGATTGAAAAAATGAACACTCATTGAAAATAAGAGTCAATATGAAGAAATGTATGGCAAAATAATTTTGTAATGGTGTTAATTTAACTTCATGAGAATTCTCGGATTGTGTTAATGTGATATGATTCTTTTTTTATTTCAACTTTTGTACTTCTTTTATTTGAGACATTCTTGAATATATAAAAAAAATAATAATAAAGTGAAACATATTATTTTTGTAAGTTTTTATGTTTAATCTATTTTTTATATACTGAGTTTTTGTCTTTTTTGTAAATTTATTTGTGAGGTTTTATGAATTTTTTTTTTTTTTAAATCATAAAAATTAATTGTTATAGGAGAGAACGATGGCGGGGATGGAGATAAAAAATTTACATGCAACATAGAGATGGAGATTAAAATTTTTGGATGAGAGTGGACGAATATTTTTGAAACAAATATGAAATAAAAATTACTACAGTGAGCTCTCAATTATCAGACGTCTAAGTTCAACCGCGTGTAATAGAAGTTATATACGACGTGTCACCGATGAATATTTTCTGGTGATGTGGGTAAAAATTGACACATTTCAAATCGCTAGAGTTTCGGCAAGATTCAGTATAAAAATCTGACTTGGAAAGTTTCCATTTGGGTAGTTTTTTTTTTCTTTTGTTTCTCGATCAAGCAAGCAATTGACGTAAGTTTCGCATTCTTTTAAGCAAATGGGTATCGATCCAACCCTTTCTTTATTATAGTACCTCCCAAGTCCCAACTACTGTTTGTTCTTGCGATCTTTTTCTTCTTTCCTCACCAATCTGAAATCGTCAAGACTCTTCTAGATTCATTTATCATCAGTGACAGTGGTCTTGGGTTTGAATCAAGATCTTAAAAACCCATCTTCTCCTTCACAATAATCTGTTCAAACAAGTGCTCGTTTCATGGCGTGTGTGTTTTTGTTGGAGAGTTGATCTGAGTTTTTGGCATATGTTTGCTTGAATTCATTCGATTTAAGGAGGCAACAACGAGAGTGTATTTCTGAATCTTTTGAAGCGTTCCAAGATATTTTTGGGTTGTGTTCGATTAAGATTTTGAGGTGGGTTTTTGTTGTTATATTTTTCTATGGCTGTGGAAGAGTTGATTGACCTTAAATTCAGGCTTGCTGATGGCACCGACATCGGACCCAGCAAGTATAGCCCTAGTACCACTGTTGGATCTCTTAAAGAAAAGATAATTACACAGTGGCCTCAAGGTTAGAAATCCTCCAACTTTCCTGAGTTCTGTGAAATTGAATTTTCTGGGAATTATTCATGTGATTGTTCTTTTACTGTTTACTTTTGCTTGAAATTTCTTCATATAAATTCACTGTTTCGAAGTTTCTAATATTAGTGAAGATTTCTTTTTGTTCTTGAATTGGCTTTTTATGTTGGTATGCTGTATGTATATGCAATTTGGCAAGGTTGATGGGAGCAAGAGAATATGTATTTTTCATTATATGGTGCATATTGTTCTGATTATTAACAGGTAGGAGATTTTTTTTTTTTCATGGTATCTTACTTTATAATTTGATGGAACCTGTGTATTTGTGCATTTTGTTGAGCAGTCTGGGCGTTTTGTCTGTTAACTCCTATGGGGTGTATAAACTGCAGAATAGGAAAAAGAAATGAAACTACAATTTGAAAGATGTTTACTGCGTTTGAAGTGTGTCGGACGCATTTAAAAGTCCCTTATTTGTATGGGTTTAGCTGCACAATGTTTTCATGGCTCCCGGTTACAGTAAGAACTGCCTCTGCTCTATCACATGGCCATGATAACTTGACAATCCATATTGAGAGGCAGACAACTCCCGTACGCAGCCTCCCTGCATGATATGTTTCTTAGATCGACCGTGATAGTCTCTTGGAAAAACACTGTTTCTCATCAGCAAATATTATTTGTTATCAAAAAGAATGGTCAGGGAATGAGGGCCGGTTGGGCAAAGAGTTCTTGTCTATTAGCGCTATATATATGTGTGTTTATCTGAATAATATCAACAACGAATCGACCAGAATAAGTTTGTGAAATATCAAATGTGATCTGTCATAGAAACACTCTCTAAGGCATGAAATATGAACCTACGGGTACCCCAAATGATCATCTCCCTTCTGTAGTTTTTATCTCACTAGGACATCCACTGGTTTGGGTGTTTACTTCCATGAACTGTCTTAGGATTTCTTTTTAGTGTTCTGTAGATCCTAGCAATTCCATGCTTGATGGAGCTTGATAAAAATGGACACACAAGCTGTGTGAGCATTAACTACAGGAACTGAAATTTGTTAAACTTAAAAATCACACACTCTGAAGTTCATGGAATGAAATTTTTGTGACGAATAAAGATATACGATTCTGACGAAGTAATCTCACATAACCATTAATCTAATGCTTTTCATGTAACAAACTTTTCCAGGCAGCAAGGAAACATTTCGTTTCATGCAAGGGCACCACAGACTTTTGACTAGCTTAATTGAACTCTTATTTAGCATTTGAAATCTCAACATCATCTGGTTTATATCCATTAAAATCCTTTCTTTTGTACTCTTTCTTCAGGTAATTCCTTTTCAATAAGCCTGGGACTTTGTTTTGTGCCTGAAATAATCTGGCAACCAAGTCATTTAATTATGTAATTAAACCAATTAAAGAGGAACCTATATGCAATCATGTAATTATACTTTGATGTGCAATGATTTATATTTTCTTATGGAGAACTGTCTATGTTTTGTAGACAAAGAAAATGGACCAAAAACTGTAAATGATGTGAAGCTTATAAATGCGGGAAAGATTCTGGAAAACAACAGGACACTTGATGAATCCAGACTTCCAGCTGGTGAAGTTCCAGGTGGTGTCATCACTATGCATGTTGTTGTGCGTCCTCCTGTTTTGGACAAAAACAATGGTAAATTCACATAAGATTATGTTTTTATGTTGGCCGAAAATACTTGAACTTGCTACATATAAATCTGTGTGTTAATGTGTTCATGTCCTATTATTCAGGTAAATTGCATGATGATTCTCCGAAGAAGAACAGATGTACATGCTCAATACTGTAAACCCCAAATGACAAGATCGACAAAGCTTCTTTCATTAGTTTTTTTGTTTGTCCACATGTTTCCATTAGATGGTTGTTGGCTTGCATATCGGGAGCTCCGCGTATTTCAGGTATTCTCGGATTCAAGAGGTTATACTGCTGCTGAAACAGAAGGGCCTGGAATTATATTGTCATCACCATTATCTGTTGCTTTGACCTTGTCATTTCCATTGGTAAATCACCTTGTAGTTCCTTCAAAGTTTAGACAGAGACAAGGAATTTGATTCCTTGGTGTAATAGAAGCTTTGTAGACCAAGGACGCTTCCTTGGCACCTCAAAAAGGGGATAAGAATAGTTACATGAGGAATTAATTGTTTGGTTTGATGGTGTTATTATATTTTTATCAAAGGATTCTCCCAATGGGTTCTTTTCGAATTTGTTCACAGGATTAAATTATATTCTATTACATGGAAATAGATACACCATTTTCGTACTCAATTATACAGTTTAAAGCCTATTTCAGTAAGTTTGGATTGGATAATGCTAAATTAAGAGCCATATGTTGCTTGTCTAAAGCCTGGATGAAATTGTTGCCACTTTGACATTCCTATGGAGAAGTAATAGGTGAATCCACAATCTCAATGAAGCTTTCAAAAGGAGTAAACGAGGAAAATAAGGAGCAAAAACTTTCCTGATGGAATCTTCTATTTTTTCTGGGTTCCTGCTAGTGATGAGATTCGAATCCTTGATCCTCCCCCTTCAGATGTCAGATCAATACTCAAATCACCATTTTGTACCATCGTCTGTCTATGTCTCTGACTGTATCCTTGAATGGAGTTTGATTCTTATAACAAGCCAATTAGGTTTCAAAAGTACCCTTATTTGCTAGTCTTCATCACACACACACACACACACAGATGCTTCTAAGGAGACTTAAATAGATGATGTCAATAAAAGAATTTAACTTTCTATACATAGGAATTACAACACCAGGGCGAAAGGCCAAAAAACAAAAAGGTAAAGGTTTAAATGTCATAGATCTACACCTTTTAATGTAAGCCGCTAGCAAAATCCAGCCACCACATATATTATTTACAAAAAGCATGATTGTATTTTGGCTTTTGAATTCCAGCACCAAGTTTGTGAGTTCGGATCCTTCAGTTGCTGGTGCTCAGAAGTCCATGAAATGCCGTCAATTTGTAAACATAAATATAACCTCAGAGGGATGCTGACTTCCAGGAATTTGCAGACAATACATTATTGAGGGGCTATGCTGTGTTTACGAGGGGTGATCCACTAGAGTGGCCGAGGAGGAGCGATTTAACTGTAAGAGTTTCCTGGAAGCTCGAACGTTCTTGAGGGTCATCATGAGTTTCTGTCTCTCCCCTTCAACCTCGGCAAATTGGAGGCTTAATTGAGAGTAACGATCGTGCATCTCTTTCAGCTCAACCTCCACAGCAGCATGTCTTCCCTTGAGTTCCAACATGTCTTTAATCAGCTCATTGATATCTCTGAAGCTTTTTAGTACCGCTTCCTCATCGCTATGTTGTTTTAGGAAAGAACTAAATAATAGAGGGATGCATAGTATGTTAATTTCTCAAAGAGTTAAATAATTCATTGAAACATTATTATCATGTAATGAAGAAAAAACAATTTGAAAAATTCAGATTTAATCAAGCAAAATTTGGTTTGTGTTTCGGGTGCCTGTGCTAGCAAAAAACAACAAAGCAACATGCTCCATGTAAGTTACTATTTAGGACTCTCAAAATGGCAGATAGGTGAAAACGATAATAGCAAGCATACAAAACAGAAACACAAAGGTATTGACAGCAGCTTTTTGAGACATTCCAGGCCAGAAAAGAACCCCATCGCTGCTTGTGCAATATTGCTGGCCAAAAACTTAACATGTCAAAATAATTAAAGCTTTTTAACATAGTTTTTTTCCCATATTTTTTGGGGGAATGAATCTCAAGGATGTCAACCCAAGTGCACTATTTATGTAAATAGGTACTTGTAAGTAAGCCATCCTTGCGATTTACCAGCATGATTTTGCACACCACGCAAAGGGTGATTCAATTAGTTGCCTTAAAGGAATAGGAAACCACTGAAAACAAGAAGATTGTATCAATGAACAGTAAACTGTACAAGAAACCTTTTATGTTTTCAGTAAAGGATGGCATATCCTCTCAAATATTATTGATTTCAGATAGCTAACGTGGAAATAGAAGAGTCCAAGTTTACTGCCAATCTAAATTTATTATTTAAAAGCACAATCATAGTAGTACGAAATGTGGAAAACAAACATGACTCTGATCCAGATGGCACAAGCCTCCATATAAAGCCATCATTTATGCAATAAAAACCCAAGAAAAAACATAGTTAATCACGTAAAAAGGTTTTTGGAAATGGTGGATCATGGATGCAACACAAAATCCAAATGCACAGAGACATGGACGCATTGTAGATGACAATATGGAGCTGGACCAGTTTCGATGGTTTCACCTTGTGAACACTTAGCAATGAATGAACCAATAATAGCAGTGGTGCAGCAAAGAAGCAAGCCTATAAAAGGTAATAGGGATTGAAAAACAAACAGAAGGTTCGAGTGGGGTTGGGATAGGTCTTGTGTTTGGAGATAGCACGGCAAAGCAAAATGTAAAACAAAAATCATAGAATGAGGTTTGAGAAAGGCATGCATTAATGCTTGGTATATGACGTGACTCAAAGTATGCCTCAAGGTATAAACTATGCATCTCTCAATTTAACTCGCTAATTGAAAATATTCCAGAAGCCAGCTATAGGACCTAAGCTATACAAGCCCCATCAATACAAATTTTGAGTCGCTCAGAACAAATGTTTGTATATTTTAGTAGGCAATAAACTAAATATAGGTTGCATATTCCACTTGTAAGAAAGAAGCTGAAGAGGACAAAAGAACTTTGTATTCCCCGCACTGCAAGAAAAAGACTAAAGTGTGTAAGTGTGACGACTGAGGTCGTGAGAGCCAATTTTGGGAATCGGGCTCAATCACTCGTGGTCACGAAGTGTGTGTGAATGGTATGAGAGTGATTTTTAGAGTTTAATACCAAGGCGGAGTGTGGGGAGGTGAGAGAAATCGAGCTGAAACGAGTATTTAGATTATCGAGGGAAAAGGCGATCCGGTAATTAAGAGGCTCGGATTCACAGTGCAAGGGTAAATTGGAGGTCAATTTGGGTGTCGGAGATTTAATTAGTATTTTTCTAGGGTTTATTTTAATGTGATTGAATTAAAAAAAAAAAAAGATTTTGAAGTAATGACAAAAACACCCTCCAAGCACCTCACACGGGTAGCAGGTGTCCTCTTGGGAGGTTTTGCAGCTATGCAAAACAATGATTTATGTCATAGAAATCATCCCCAAGCAGCCGGAGGAGGATCAAAACAACTGAAATCATTTGGAGAGAGAGAGAGAGAAGAAGAAAGAGCAAAATTTCGGGAATAGGATAGAGGGTGATTCGAAGTGCAAGAGCTACACCAAAAGCTTTGTTTCAACTTCCTGAATTCAGTGGTAAGCTTGGATTTTAAATTGGTACGGTGTGATCTCAAATTTGATTTTAAAGTTGTAGGTGGATTTTGGCTTAATGAGTTAAGTTGTAGATCTTGTATCTAGTTTTTTTTCCTTCAAATTAATGTGTGACCTCGAAATTCAAGTTTTGAGGTCGTTTGGGGGCGAAAAATAGATTTGCAGGTCTAGCCATGGGTTGGAATGAGGTTAAAAGGTGGAGTAGAGACTGAGGAAGAGGGTGACAAAGATGGAAGTTTAGGCTGAAAATCTGATGTAAGGCAACAATTGTCAAAGGTTTCAAGGGGACGAAGAAGAGAGGAGGAGGAAGGGGGGAGCAGGTGACACCAGGCCACCCTGACGACACTATTTAAGAGCACGCAGGGACCTGGTGGACCCTTGGTTGGTCTCGTTAGCTTCTTAACATCCCTACAGAGGTCCCCGTCGCTCCATTTTGTGATATGAGGTTCTGATCAAATCGAGGTGTGAAATGTCCGATTTGTCCTTTGAATCTAATTTGACCTACTTTTTTGGGGAAATTGACCAAACTAATTTAAGATTCTTTTTTAAGTAATTAAAGTGAGTATGGGTGTAAAATTTTATTGAAAAATAACACTTTTATTTTTGACAGTTTTAGACTGATACACATAACGAGTTAGAATTTCTCAATTCCACAACAGGTGAGACTTTCTAAACTTATTTCAAACTTATTGAATATATAATTTATGAGGTCTAACATGTTTTTGAACTATTGATTAGGTAATTTTGCATTGGCTTGAAATTCGGACCCGGTTAGGTTTTGATGTTTGGTTCGCACAAACAGTCTTATTGAACGAAATGTAAGTGCACACATGATCGAATAGTAGAGGGTTTATGTTTTTGGTTGAGACCGTAGAGGGTTTCATTGAGTTCGGACTTGGATTCCAAATTGTGATTAGAGAACATATCTTCCTTGGGTGCAAATCCCTAAATGGTTGGATCGTATGGTTTGTATGGACCTTGAGTGGTCTACTAGGTTGAATGCTCTCTGGTGGGCACTATATCCGTATTTCTAAAACCTCTTTATGTACTGTTTTGCATTACTGCTATTTGTTTCACATGAAATAACAATGCTTTAATTATGTATGTATCAAATGATGGTTTCTTTGATGCCCAATCATGTAAAATTATTTCCCTTTTCTTTCAGGTAGCTTGTAATAATCTATTTAAGTTGAGCATGTATAGTGTAATAACCGTCATGTGTGTATGGGAATGTAATGACCAATATGAGTATGTAGCTTTTAGTTGTGTGTGTAAAGTAAACTAAGTTATGCGTTTTGATAAAACATGAGTTATTATATGTGGGTTTTGGCTGAGTTATGTATAGCTGTGCCGAGTTACTTGCATAGCGTGCTCGTGTGGCTTGAGGTGTTATACATTACATTCCTGGGTGATCTGGGGTGTGACAGCAAAGATTTACAGTGGCTCTAAAGGCTGACCTACCTCTGGAAATGAATGCTTGATTTCTTTTTTGCCCTCAATGCTTCAGCAAGCTCAATTTCCAATGCAAGCACCCTTTCTAATGCATTCCCACTGCTCGAAAATTGATTAAATGATGGGAATATGCTTCCCAGCTCTTCATTTGCCTTCAAAAGAAAGAAAAATGGCAATAGAAAAACAGAAATAAGAGTTTAGAAAAAGGGCACTACAAAATAAATGCTGAAAAATGTAGCTCAATACAATAAATATTGCAGAATGTAACTCAATTCACCTTGTCCAATTGAAGGAGTTCACTCTGCAAACCTTGAAAATCTGGGTCAAAATGAAAATCCTCTGGAATGAAGGAGTTCTCGTTTTTCATCCTTTCGAGCTGCAAACAGAAGACAACAAGGATTTGAATCAAGTTCCATCAGACATTAACCTGTGCAACTTCTTGTTTTGAGCAGAAGTTCGTGGTCATAAATTCATCTCTGTAAATAACATATTGCAGGTTATATGATCTTTAAATCAACCCAGACGATAAAAGATAACTACCTCTTCATGTAGGTGCTCCATACTGGACCTCAAACTTTGAGCTCTGAAGTGATCATTGATAACAACTACATTCGTTGGACTACTGTGTGCCAAGTTTCCTTGATCTAGAAGTGAGCGCTCTGGAATTCCATGTACACTTTTAGACATGACATCCTGCTAAATAGATGCACATACTCAGAGACAACATTGAAAGGATATAAAGAAGTGCAGAAGGATAAAAGACACTAAAATGACGCTTCTGTTGCTCCAAATTCTAACAACCACATTGATTCATGGGCTCTCTTCCAGCTGAACAAAAGTGTAGAGAAATTTTCATCACATTGTTGAATAGTTGAAAGAAAATAAGTCATAGTGAGCATGACACAACCTATCAGACTGGGGTAGGGGAAAATGATTGAGGTTCCATAGCCAATACAAGAATGGCTTTGGAAGTGAAGTCTGGTGCAAAAGTAAAATAATGTCAGAGTAATATATAAAAGCAAAAAGATAGAAAGAAGAAAGTAAAATACAAAGAGGTAGAAATAGAGAGGAAGCAAAAAGAAGTAACCAAGGTTTTCCTATCTGCACAAAGAAGGCATCTAAACTGAAAACAAGAGATTATGCTGCAAGTTCTCAGTTGATGTTCATCAACATTTTACTCAATGATCACCACCCCATATAGCCTTGTAATGTCTACCAAGTATAATTGAAGCTCTTGAACCAAGACAATCATGGTCATCAATAGGTAGAAAACCCAACCAAAGAAATCTCAGATCAATGCAGAAAGTCTAACAAGTTCACTACCACAGACAGCAACTTGATTAATAAAATCTGCATTATAACAGTCTCTTGCACAACTAAACTAAAGCGTGCAAATAGTTGAGGAATAATGGTGACAATGGCCTAGTAATTTTTTTTTCATCAGGGCCTACCAAGTTAAAACTTATTTTGAATATACTTTCTTCAAGACACTAAACTGAGGGTCAAGACTCCGGATGTGGACCTAAATAACATGTTTAACTGTTAACAAAGGTCACACTTCACAGACTTAGCGTAGATGATAAAGGATCGCAATATTGTAATTTTCATTATGTGCTCTCTTGATGTATAAAGAACGTCAAACTATAAAGTAATGGTCAGGCATGCATCATTTTGCACCACATCACAATTACCTTCTTGCAAGACAAATTAAAATTGCACCATTGAAAATAATTGTGAATAAGACTATCCAAAGTACTTACCACTATGGGTGGCACATTCATGGGTTCAGTGGAATGCACACCTTCACTGACCAGAATAGAGCTTCTAACTTCTACTGCTTCACTGTTCATCAAACTATCTTGGTCCAAGTACTTGCCGAAGGGGTTTCCAGTTGGACCATTCACAAGAACATCCTCTTTTATTCTTCCAAAACTTAGAGTACCATCCACCGGAGTCAAATCTTTAGACATATGCTCAACTTTTTCCAACCCACCATTTCCTTCCTTTTGAATATCAATAGAAACTGCACAATTCTCCATCATTCCTTTTACCAAGGTAAGCTCAACAGCAATCCTAGACTTCTCAGTGTTGCATTCTTGTAAAGAGACTTCAAGCTTTTCTTTTTCTTCCTTGCAACATTCAAGGCTTAGTTGTGCACATTCCAATTCTGCCTTTATTCGATCATAAGCTTTGGATTTTTCACGCTTGTCGCAAAGTACTGACTGTAATTCACCCTCCAATTCCAAGATTTTTAGTGATAGCTCTTCATTTCTCTTCAAGTGAGAAGCTTCAGATTTCTTCCTATTCTCAATTTCATCAATGGCATCTTGTAGTTTCCAGAGCATCTCCTCTCCATGTTTTTTGGAAATAGAAAGTTGTTGCCTCAGTTCTTGCAGCTTCGTCTCATATTGTTCTTTGATGAAGGCAATTCGCAACGAATCTTGCATAGCAACTGATGGTCCTTCAGATTCTCTTTTTTCGCGAGCCTGGAGACATTCTGCTTCAGCCTTGTCTTTAAGCTCCTTCAAATGAATGGATATGTTCTTAAACTCTTCCGTCTTCAGAACCTGTTCGGAAAGCTTACGGGTAAGCTCATTACACTTGGTCTGCAGCATCATCAGTTCATCATTATGTTCATGCAGTGAGGTTATACGACTATGTTGCTCATCCAGTTTGGATTTAAGGACTATCACTGTGATTTCCAGTCCTTCCTTTGAGAACATCCGGTTAACAATCTCTTCCTCAGCATCCGCAAGCCTGTGCTTCAGCTGTTCTACCTCAAGAGCATGCTGGGTTTTATCCTCGGAAAACCTAATTTCCATTGTTGAAAACCTCATCTTGTATGCCTCAAGTTGAACGGTCATAATACTTTCTGAATCTGATAGGACCCTAGTCTGAGCAACAGAGGCTTCTAATTCAGATCTTTGGGATTCCAGAGTTGACGTCAAATTTGCAATTTCTTCAATGTAATGGGCCTCACATTCAACAGAGCGATTAAACATTCCCTCCACATCAAGATACTGTTTTTGAAGCACCTTGAGGCGCCCATCTGAAGATTGAAGATGCTGCAAGAGCTCCTCAATTAGGTTTTCGTGCTGAGTTGTGACAAAAGTAAGTCTAACATCTGCAGCTATTGAATATTCATGCATTTCTGATAGCTGACTTTCCAGACTCGTTAGACTAGAAGACTCTTCTTGAAGCTTGTCTAAACACTCCTCATGCTGAAGCAAAAGATGGCAAACTCTAGATTTTTCTAATTCCAAATCAGATGCCAGTTGCCTGAAATGCAACAGTTCAGCTTTCAGCTGGTCAAAATGGAGCAACTTGTCGTGCTTCTCATCCAATTGAGAATTAAGATTGATAACTGCACTCTCTAGTTTGTCTCTGATGCCTCTCTCAACATGCAACTCATCCTGCAGATATCTCAAAGTTTCATTCAGACTGCCAAGCTCTGATGCAAGCTTGACAGACTCCTCAGTTTTACCCTGTAAGGAGATCATAAGATCTTGCTTTTCCAGTATTAACTTAGCAATGGTTGTCTGACTCCTTCCAATTTCCTCAGCTAGGGCATCTAATCCCAAGATCTCTTGAGCAAGATTCCCATCTTTAGAAGTCAATTGTTGCAGCTCAACTTCCAAAAGAGCAAGATTAGCCAAAAGCTCTTTGTTCTGGTGTGCATATTGTTCTTCAACTTCAGAGCTGATGTAGAGTTTATTAGCAACAGATTCAAGCTCCAACTGAAGCTTTTCCACAAGAGCATTGGACATATCTAATTTAGTTACCATATCCTGCATATCATTTTTAAACTTCTGCGTCATGACCAGATTTTCTGACCGAGCAGTGCTCAAGGACACCTGAGCAATATCTTTTTCACTCTCTAGGTCCTTCTTCTCTTCCATCAGTTGAAGAATCTTTCTACATGCATTATGCTGGATCTCTTCCAAATGCAAAATGGTCCCTTTGAAATCCTCGATCTTTGAATCCAAAGCCACAGAATTACTAGAGAGAGACAGTCCACTATATTGTGTGTCAAAAGCTGCCAACATACTACCCAACCTATCTTGCACAAAGTTGACGAGTTTCTGCAGGTTGTCCTTAGAACAAGCCAACTCGTCGAATTCAGCTTTGAAAGTTCTTGCCTCTTGGTTTAAAAAGGACATTTCTTTTTGAAGATTGGCATTTTTCAGAGTTTCCTGTCTCAATAAAGTCGCCAGCTCTGATTTTTCAGCAGAACAAGCTTCGTATTTGCTTTCATTACTTCTGTATTCCACCATGAGTGATTCCCATTCAGTGATCTTGTGTGTAAGGAGACAATTTTCCTTGGAAACATTTTCTAGATTTGCCTCTAAAATTTGATTCTGCAGAACCAAATCACTGCACCTGGCAATGTAACTAGCCTTGTACTCATTTAGAGTGTCAACATCATCCATGGAAGCCTGCAACCTTACCATTAACATATTCTTGGACTCAGTTGAAAGCTCTAACTGCTGTCCAAGTTCATCCATTTTATCCTTCATGAGTCCAATGCTAGCATTTGCCTCAATCAATGTTTCTTGCAGAGTTTTTGAAAACACATCCAAGAGTATATTTACTGAATGCATTTCGCCAAGTTCTTCTTCAACCTTCTGGAAAAGCTCTTTCTGCAAGGAGAGTGATTTTTTTAAGTCCTCAGAAAGGATATCTCCACCCAAGAATTGTTTCTTCAATCCTGCTTTTTGATTTTGACATGACCAGAGTTTAATAGCATCAGGATATTCTGGAGTTTGCACAGCATCCAGGCATCCTTGGAAGCAGGGTTGGGAAGTGTCTGAAAAGGCTTGCTTCATGAGGTTCTCATTAGTCTCAAACATAGACACAACCTGGGAAGAAAGTAGTTCAAGATCCTTTTGTAACTGATCCACCGCAATAGAGTAATTCAAGCGGGCCCTTCTAACTGCTGCTTCTGAAGAAATAGCCCTTCTTTCAAGCTCCTTATTGTGGGCATCCAAATCACATCTCTCTTCAGCAAATCTTAATATTTGCTGATTCATATCGTGTCGAATTGATTCCATTTCAGTTTTGTGGGTAGCCATTGTGTACAGGCAAGTAGAATGCTCGTTTCTGAGATTCTGCAACTCTCCTAATAGTTGTTTCTGATTTTCTTCTAGCTCCTGAATGAGAGCCTCATAGTAGCACTCCATCTGTTCCATTTTTCTTGTTAGGCTTTCCCTTTCAACTTTTGCCTCATCTAATTCCCTTAGAAGCTCAAATATTTTGCCTTTCATTGCATCACTAGCACCTACAGGGTCATATTCTTGAGAAACTAGGCTGCCAATGCTTAACTGAGGACATATACTTTCTGGCTGGTACAAGTCCAAATCAGATCCCATTCCTGGAACAATTTGTTCGTACTTATGTAAACTCATTTCTCTGGCTTCTAAATTCATTCTCTTCAATGGTACATCTGGCAAGGGTATGGCATGCTCTGTTCCATGTTTGAGATCCTGCAGAACACAGAGCAATGCCTCTAGCTCTGATTGGAGAAAAGTGAAGTCGAATTCATGGAAACCGAGGGATGCCTTATTTTGAAGCTTTCTTAACCTGTCCTCCACAACAAAAAGGTCCTTTAGCCATGTTTGCTGTGTATCTTGAAATAAGAGATCATGCTCCGGGTGACTAGTTTTTTCACTGGTAATTTGAGGGCTTAAGTTCAGATTTGTAAGCTTTTCAAGATCCTCTTTGAACTTTGAACATTCTGATTTCAGCACAGAAACTTGTTTCACCAGTTCTGCACCTGAAGTTATCTCAGCAGCAAGTTGATGGGATAACTTCTGAGTTTCAACACCTATTTCATCAGCATGACTTTGCAAAGACATTACCTCAAGCTTAAGCTCGAAAATAGATGACTCAGCCATTTCCAGGCTTGCTCTAAGTCTACTATTCTCCTCATAAGAAGTAGCCAAGTCATTATCCATCGAGTAGTCTGAACCCCAACCGTGAACTGAATCGATACTCCCCTGTGCCAAGATTCGATGATCAGATGCATCTTCTTTCTCTGTCTGAGGGCTTTGAAAATAGGGCAGATCACTTAAATCACCAGCTACTGTACTCTTAAGGCTATCAATTTCATGTGTACTGCAGGTATCATGCTTTTCAGCATACAGACTTCCGGAAGTATTGGATGAGCCATCAAATCCGACAGCTGAGTCTGCATATTCTTCAGTTAACCCTACTTCTTCTTCAAGTGAAGGGAGCTCTTTTGATTCTGGTTTGAATCGAACTCTTTCATGGACCTGTATTAGACAAAAAAGAACGAAGCGAAAAAAATCAGTCCATGATGATGCCAAGATAACACTTGTTAATGTAGGGAGGACAAGAGGAAAATAAATGCAGGCAGCAATAAACCATAACATCTTATGAAAATTGACAACCACATTTTCCAACCCAACATGTGAATGAGAACGCTACTTATACAAATAGCATATGGCATCCATCAAGAAAAGTAAAAAAGGAAGTCTATTTCCAGAGACTATAGGTGACATACATGTTCTTGGGTATCTGTCTATATAACCTGTTTGGGCACTCTCCGTGAAAGAAAGTGACAAGAAATGTCTTTACACTTTTTCTCCAAAAAAAATGAAGAAATAAAGTAATGAGAACAGAGAAAACATCTCTGATTTGATGTTGAGTCTGACAAGGTTGAGAAAAGAGAAGGAAAATAAGCCACTTATCCTTTTGTTTCCTTTAATTCCTTTTGCACGTTCTGGTTGCTGCCAGGTTTCTGGTGTACACCTTCAGCCTACCATTAAAGTTAATTCCCATCTACCCTACGATGCTTTGCGCCATTTCTTTCATTTTTCCCTCTTTTTTTTGGTTGCATCTTTTTCCTGCCTTTGGTATTTATCTTAGGAAAACATTGTTTTATCTTTTCCATGGCTTCGGCATTCATCATAGAAAAAAAAATGTCCCCCTCCCCCCCCCCAAAAAAAAAATCAAAAATAAAAAAAAATCAAAACATGGAAACATTTAAACAAACCTCTTCTTTGCATTACCATTGCTTTTCTTTAAACAAGGTTTGATCTTTGGGCAAATGCACAGAACCCCTGAACTAAGGGCATTGACAAGTCAACCTCTCAACTCTCAAGAGTTAAAAGTGAAACTAAATCGACTCAAACTAATGAATGAATTGTAAATGAATAAATGCAATCTAAATTGACTATACGAGTTTATGAAACATCAGATCGCAGGTGTGTGTGCCCCTGCTGGGACAGTTACCTGCCTAAACCATTGGTAGAAACTAACATCTTCACACTTACCTTGTGTTGAAAATCTTTGAAGAGGGCTGTACGTAGACTGCACAGATGGACACCCCCACCCATAATAGAAAATTTCGGAGATACGTATATGTACACCACCGAGACAGGATTTCCGCTATTATATAATATATATATATATATATACACACACCAATGAGAGAGAATTTAAGAGACAGGGCGAGAGAATATTGCTTAAGCTTTCTGCATCACTTTAGTGAAATTTGTATCAGACCCCAGGACTGTGTATAATAAAATATCAAGTCTGGTTAAATTTAAATTCTCATCAGTAAAAACTTGAATAAAAAACTCTGATCCGAAACCTGTTCCTCCATTGATCTTAAACCCCCCATCTCTTTCTCAACCGAGTTTTGGTGACTGATGGATGTGATGGTGTGAGGATCGTTGGACATGTGTGTATTTGAAGTGTCATAAGCTGTATGTGGCAGTGGCCTTGTTGTTGCTTTATTGGGTTTGTAAGGGTGCACGGTAATGGTGTAGTTGGTGATAGAGGTGTTGGTGTAAGGATGTGGGGATGAGAAAAAGGAAAAGGAGAAAATGAAAAAGAGAAATGATGAGGTGCTCCATGCTTTGGTTCAATTGGAAACAGAGTGAGAGAGAGAGGAAGAGACTTCGGTCGGTTTAGGGGTTGCAATGGGATATTGCTATTAGCTGGAGGAGAATTTGAGATTAGATTTCTGAAGCTCGGAATTGAACTGGTATTGGCAGACATTTCAAATGCAATAATGGATTTGGTATTTGAGGTTTCAATCAATGTGGTGGATGGTCATGGTGCTGGTAGTAGGTGGTGATGGTTTTCTTTTATGGCTGGGTGGTGGTAGTTTATGGGTTTACACAGAGTTTCTCTCTCTCTTTTTCCTCAGCACATTAAGTTCCTCTGTGTATGAAATGGTGTTTGTGTAGTGGGTGGGTGTGTCTATGGCTGATATGCATCCGTGGGTGCGTGATACTAGGGGTGGGTGGGAGTGACGAACCGTGGCACTGTCTGGGTGGCGGATAGGAGTATGTGAGGTAGAGAGGTTCTTACTGTCAGGCCCTTATTCGTAGCAGGGTTTTACTCAATTCTGCAATGTAAGGCTACTTTTACACCTTAGTCACAGGTTTAAAGTGGTTTAGTGTAACTTTTGGGGGTTGATGGGGGTGGTCTGTAACCGATCCTAAGTTCAAGGGGCCCTATGTAACTGCCTCAGCTACAACCAGAAACGTCCTTCAGGGAACAGTTGTTCTTTAGAACCACTGGCAAAAGTTTCATCACAAGTTTGTAGATACCACTTCTTTTAATTACGGCTTCCCATATTGGGTGTGCATACATACTGCAGTCATATGAACAACCTTTTCCCCGAAGATCCACCTTTTAATTTTTTGTTTTTGGTGGGTTTGTTTTTGTGTGTTGGGGGTAGATAAATATGTTTCCACTGGGAATTTGTACACTAAGATTTTATTCAATTAAAGAGTTTACAGCCTGATTAAAATGACCCTTCATGAAATAGCATATAAGGATCACAATTCAAGGCCCAGAGTGAAACATATACTGAACGCTTTAAAAAAATAAAAATTGATACTGGGGACATCTGAACCACTATACAGGCAGCACAAACTGTCTCAAGGCCTAGATTGCATGCCCCATGCATGTTGTCTAGTAGCTCTTCTAACCACTGTAGTCTATCTATCCTTCATAGCCAGACAATTCTCTCCCATCTGTGGAAACAGAGGATTTTCTGGATCACATCACACATTGTAGATACTTGTGTGTTATGCATTATTGTTTAAACTTTCTGAATTATTAATGTTAAGAGGACTTTGATGCTAGCGTTCTTCTGCGACCAAGATTCATGTAGAGACAGCAGAAGAGATAGTCATGACCACATCAATTGATGGCTTATCATAAAAGTACAATCAGATAGCCTCTCTCCTAATTTTAAGACAATTGGTATCAGAGCTTCTGCTAGCCCTGTTTAATGACAGGTGTTCTTCTAAGTTTGCCTTTAGAACAACAAACTTAGAAATAGAAATACCAATTCACATATACTTATTTACAAATATATCAATTTGTAAGCTCATGTGCACAGACACAGACACAGACACAGACACAGACACAGTTGGTAAGAGTATAAAAAAGAAAAGCAAAACAAACATAATCAAAGAGATTTTTATCACACAAGTAAAAGAAATCAAACATTATTAACCTGATCCTTGGCAATCTCTTCTGAAGATGATACTTTGCCACTACCAGATTCATCACCCCTATGTAGATCGTTGCCTGTCTGCAACCCCCCCTCTCTAAGTTCCCTTTGCTGCTCAAATTCTCTGTAAGCTAATAAACCTCAGCTTAAAATGCTTAAGAAAGGAAATGCATCTATTTGAATCCGAAAATGCAATACCTGAATCCAGTTTTAGAAGTTAGCAACTGAACAGTTACCTGGCACCAAAGTCGCAGTCAACCACAAAAATGAATTAAAATTACTAAGAATAATTAATAACGTTATGTAACTGTATATAGCAATCTCTTTATAAGTTGGAAGAACAACACGGGAAAGATGGAACTTATAACCAAATGCAAGTGGCAATTGAAAGTTTCAACAAACCACACAGAAGACAACAAGGTTTCCAGTTAGACATGGCTGGACAAATTTGCTGCACTTGAGTGTTATTTTCTATCTGCTGCAAACCAAAAATCTGAGGACATTGGAGTTCATAAAGAAAACATCTAACTAACAATATGCTTGGATTCTCATTTATATCAAAATATCTGGAAATTTGAAAACCAATGAAGGTACCAACACAGCCGCTACTTTTATGCGTTTTTAAGGTCAAATATGCCGATTATGCCTGGCATTAGGCATGTAGTATTGATTGTATACCATGGAACATTACTGAGTTGCCACAAAGTTACAAATTCAACAGCCATAGTATATATTATAGGTTGCTGTGAAAAAAGAATATAGGATATATAGATCTTATATTCCCTCACATGTAATACAGTTCCAGAGTTACATCCATGAAGAGGAAGTGCAACAGCAGAGGGCTTCGACGCATCAGCATAATCAGCTAGGTTGATAATAGCCTCACCAAGAACGCTAGACCGTGAAGAACCCTGATGCCAAAAAGTTTCAGGGTAAAGATTAATCTAAGTTGCAAAGAATAACCTAAGAACAAGTGTAATAAAAAAATTTAAAAAAAAAAAAATACACGAAGAGTGTAGATAAGGTGCATCATACATGCATGTACATATATTTCCTTCTCTCTTTTTTCTGATAAATAACTTTTCAGGTACTTTAAGAGCAGGAAAATTGGGAAAAATTCCAATCGAAAGAGCAACCAGAAAGAAAAACTACCATGGCCACGACAAGTTTGTAGAGCTTTTCATCATATTGTTTGCTTCTTGTATCTTGGAGAAGCCTTGTAGTTTCATAGATAGGATCTGCCCATTTGCATGTTCCATTTCTCACATTTGCTTTAGTTGTTTTTGCTGTTGTCTTTCCAGAATCAGTAGGAACGAAAGTTATAAATAACTTGTCCCATCCACTTTGTGGAATCTGAACCATGGGGGACAAAGACTATATTAATTCATTATACAGATTACGACAAAGGTATCCAGTTGTTGAACACACTAATCTGATAACATAGAATACCCATAATTATTGCCAACAATTTCAACAAATAAAGAAAAGTAATCAGGACTAATTGCTTCAAGGACTGACGTATCTTAAGTCCTTGTGTTTCAAATCTTTTTATATCCATTGAACCATGCTACAGAATGGGTTATGATGATTTCATCTTGTCATCATTTTATCAGCTTACTGCTTAATATAAATCAGGTTCCATATTTCGTTTTTTTGATGTCTAAATTTATCTCGTGAATCTGTTCCTTAGAGCTGTACTTAACTTGAGAATCACAATACAATGAGACGGGTGACGGTGGAAAGGGTTTAACAATTTTGATCGTGAAACAGGGATGCAAAGCAGATGAAATCCCTCAGAAGTTTGGTCCCAAGAAGGGCAGGAAAAATTCAGGGTGCCAAGCTTAACTCCACCTATTTCCATCCATAATGGCACAAGTAGTTTCCTATCGTTCCAAAGTCTGAAAGAATTTCCAGACTGATAACACATTGTCCATTGTATCAACTATGCAATCTCCTCATGCTCCAGTTTACTTAAAATTTGCTTACATTTGCTTGACTTATATGATCTTCTCAAAACTTGATACTTTTTTTACTTTAATAAGTAATCTGAATTTCCAGATCCAAGTGTTAAGACAATGTGGGAGGATGGGAGTGTTCCTATGGTGGGGAATTTGGAAGGCCAAAAGTGCTGATTGGAGTTAACTGGACACTTCAGGGTGCAGAATTTAATGATTCCTCCAACATGCACAATAACTAGAGCGAGAGCCACATAAAGCAGCTACAGTGGAAGAACAGTAACCCAGGAAGGCAGAATCAAAAATATGTTTCAACAAGTTACAAGAATCATAAGCTACAAGATGACTTGAATATTTATGCAGCACAAATCAATGCTACACTCTAATATTCTCATCAGGTTTCCTAGATGAACAAGAGAAACTATAAAAGGTTCTCATTTCAAATATGAAGATGAAGAAAAGAACCTAAAAGGCAGATGGATACGGCATAGACATTTGTTTCTGAATGGAACTTCTTCAACCCGGAATTTAAATAAAATCCAGAAAAAAATCAACAGGAGAGCCAAAAAGAAATTCATATGCAAATATCCCAAAATAAAGAAAGAGTTAACATTATAAGAGCAGAAATACATGTGTAGCATGAAATTGCAGCCGAAAGACGACTTTTACTTTCGTCTTCTCAAGCTTCCACTTAGTGATTCTCGACATAATTGCATAATCAATCTACCATCAGCTGTAATCCCTCTTGTTCCTTCTGTCATTCGTGCAAAATGAGTCCATAAAACCCTGTACCATACTACAAGTTAAAAACACAAAAATCTTAAGAGAGAAATACCTTCTCTTGGGTGACAAGAGAAAAATTCATGGAAACAGAAGTTTTCATCAATGTGCATAAATCACTTGCTACTTTATTGTGGATGTAAACAATACAGGCCTTTTGCCAACCTTTAACCACAACATTAAAAAGGGATTACAACTGTTTCAGAGTTTAAAATGCCAGTTTAGATACATTCCCCTTTAAGCAGTGAACTTCTACAAAGAAGCATTTCCAAATGCACACCACATTCCCTCCGAAAACTTACAAGAATTTCACTTGAAACAAAAAATAGACAATCGTCTGTCTATAAGGATATTAAGATGTCTGAACCATGAGACTGCGTCACACAGCCAAATTCAAATTTGAAAATTATCATAAAGAGTTGCTAAAGCTAGCGTCAAACAGACAAGCATGAGACAAGAAGGTTAATCTATAATCAATGGACAAATGTACTGCCACCAAACAACCCAGATCTTTGATGTTACATTGACAAAAACACAAATTAGGAAGATATCTGAGACCCATAAAAAATTATGGACAGTTACATACACAAATTAAGCTAAACTCGGCAAATACCTCGGTTTAACTACACCAAACAGGGTAGAATATAGGCCAAGCCCCACTGATCCGAACCCTAAACTGACAAGCAACACTCAAAAACAAACTGAAACAATGCCACTTCAAACCAAAGCCCAACAACAACCAGCCAACCCACAAAACGCTCCAATAAAATATTCACAAACCTATAGAAAGCACTTTACATATTCAGAAACTCTTTCGCAGCCTTAAAAAATGCGAATCTGAAATGAAATGTTTACCCAAATTTAGCAACAATGTACTCCCAAAAGTCTAAACTCCAGAGCCAAAAACAGTACTTTTTACTGTTTCGACATCCACAAAACGTCAAAAATAAAAGCAGCCCACGAAATAATTACCCAATCCACTGCACAAACAAACCAAACACTATACGTCATAGTGAAATCAGTCACATTTCACACAGTTCACACATCACATTCAAACCCCAACAACAAAAAAATTCCAACGCATTTTATAAAGAAGCTATATACTTAATGTACTTAAATACGTATACAAAAACATTATATATAAGGAGGTGTGGAGTTATCTGATACCTAATTCAAGATCTGGGGTGAGCTTAAAGTGGAAGACAACACAGGGAATCCGAGGACAGAAGCTGCTGGTAGCGTGAAATGGCAGTAAAATATAGGTTTTCTGGAAAATGATGGAGAGAGAGAGAGAGAGAGAGAGAGAGAGAGAGAGAGGGTTGAGAGAGAGGGAAGGAGTAGATATCCCGCCAAAGCCTGTGCTTGTCGATAATTAATTTTTGTTTACAGTGACTGTGAGTGGGTTTATTTTTTTTGTTTTGACTGTTTGTTTACTTTGATTTTTACTTGTAGACTAAATGTGTGGATTTACTAAAATACCCCCATAATGTTGACTATTTAGGTTATTTATTTTTAGTACACCTAACTCTCACCTAATCTTATAATATAATAATATTATGCCGATTTAATTTATTACTGATTTTTTCTAATCTAATCTATAGTTATAAGTAAGGGGGAGCTACCTCAACCAACTTTTTTTTTTTTGGGTCAAGTAGGATGATATATATATATATATTTATTGAAATTTTTTTGGCACAAAATTAAATCATTCAACATAATTGGGCCAAAAATGCATAAATAAAAAGATTAATTATAGTCATTTTTAATTGATCTTAATAATTTTTTATTATTAAAAAGTATTGTATGATAATTTTGTCATAAATACCATTGAAAATATCTTTATATATATTAGTATACTTTTAATCGTCATGTTATCATCACTCATTTAGTTACGTAATAGAGTTTTTATAATTTTTGTCGTTAAAAATATTTTCTCTACAATAAAAATTATAATTAATTTAAAATTATAATTGATAAAATCAATGTCAAAGTCACAATGATTAACATGTATTTTTTAGTCTTAATCTTTTTTGAGTGGAATATCAATCCGAATATATCCAAAATATGTCTAAAAGTCAATTGTTATTTTAATTATGAGTCTATTCTAATCGACATCACAAGAAAAAAATAGTGTAGGCTTGGTTAAATACGTTTAAGAAATATATAAAAAAATACATAGGCATTATAAAAAAAAAAATTTAGAATGGCCATGTGCCCCTCATAAGCCGATGGCGGCTCCACCATTGGTTATAAGCAGGCTGATAATCAAATCGAACTTTTTAAGTTTATTTAGTTTGTTTAAAAAATGAGTCGAACCTAAATTGAGTTCAAGTAATTCGATTATTTTATATATAAAGAAGTCAAGTTTTTTAGTCTCATTTTTTTTAAATAAGTTTAAAAAATTATTCAAGTTTAACTCATTTAAAAAATGAACCGAACTTGAATTGAACCTAAAGAACTTATTATCAGACATAGTTATAAAGTGGATTGACAATAAACCTAGGAACTCTTTGTCAAATATAACAGTAAATAGATTGGGTTTGTTAATAATGATCATAGATTACAGCATAGTCTGAAAATCAAATAGAATGAATATGGGAATTTTTTTAAAATATTAATTTGATGGAAAAGACAATATTATGATACAGTTGGATAAAGTGATAATTTTTTTGTCATTTAGCGTGGCCAAAAGTAATATAAGTCCTGTTTTTAAAAAATAATTTATAATAAGTTCAAAATATCAAACTAAAACTTCTGAAAAGCTTAGTCAAATCAAAAAAATTAGAACTAGTTTTTTTTTTATTTGATTAAATTGATGATTTTGTGATGAACCATCAATATACTTTTATTTTTAGGATGATTAATATGATGGTATGACCTAATCGTGGAACCAATGACTGACCTACCTCCTTTGTCACGTTCCATTTGTCAATTTAATGTCCAGTTAGATGTTAAGCAAGGAACAAGACTTGGATTTGGGATACATTTTTCCAAATTTGTCCCAAGCATATGCAAAAGCACAAGTCTCACCAAAAGAGGTTGACAGAGGGGGAACAGGTGTCACTGTGTGGCTGTTCTAGAAGGAGAAAATATTGAGTGTTTCGCAGGTTACTCCTTGCAATGTGTACATCACGCATAAATTGTTGTACATTTTTTTTTTATTATAGAGTGTCTAAGTTTATGTTGATTATTTTTTTGAATTTAGCTGTTGACAACTGTGACTTGAACTAGATTAAAACATATCCTTAAATTGAAATTGAGACATCTAAATTATCAAAAAAACATCCTTAACCACTAAACTACACTTGGGCATTACATGACACCGCCATGTTTTGGAGGTGCACTCGATATTTTCTTAATCTAGAGGAAGAGGGTATGAATTTGGTCGTGGGACTGACAGCGTGGGGTAGCCTTCTGTGCCCATTAGGGGGGATGAGGCACATGGGGTTTGGTGTGGCATTGGCCATTTTTTTCCAAAGCTAGTCAGGAGACCATGATTGTCCAGATTCTTTCACAGCTAAGCCACAGCCCTATTAGTGTCATTGATTCATAGTTATGTCACGTGACACGTTTACCCATCACGTGCGGTATGAACTTTCATCACTCAAAAGCATTACTGACCCACACAAAAAAAAAAAAAAAAATACTCAAGAGCATTTCAGGATTCATTTCAGGAATGCTCTTTTATGCGTGGATTATAGATCAAAATTACAACACCGGAAAATATGTGTCACGATCAACAGTCACATATAAATTAAAATAAGATATATGGTTAGGATTCATGTTTTGGTATAGTATAGAAAAGTATTTTTGGATACCAACTCAATTAGGCAAAAGCAAGAGGATTGTAAGTTTTGGGGCAAAATGATGTTCTTCTAAATTTTTGAGGGGTGAATTTATAATTAACGTTATTTACAATAAGGAGGATTTTCAAAGCTTGGGTAAGGGAAGAAGGACAAGTGCCTCTGCTTGCCCTTTCCCCCCATCTAAGTTGGTTGCTGCATTCGGTCTGTGACCCATGGGCTGACCCAAATGCTTAGTTGTCCATCGGGCCAACGAAACGACGTAACATGCAACGTGGTGATAGCGGGTGCCCAAAAAGCCTAGTAGGTTGGGCTTTGGTCTGCGTTTGGCTTGGCTCATCGTCTTGTCAAAATTCAAATGCATATGAAAAATTTGTCATCAAAACTCTACGCAAATGAAAAATATGTCAAATTTTAAACAATATATGAATGTTAGAGCCTACCTACGTGCCAGGACATTCGTTGCTTTTGAGTTATTTATCAGAGTACAACTCTTTTAAAATAAAGAAATTAAAATACGATATTTTTAAACTTATTTACCAAGTTATGATATTATTTAAAAACGGAATCAATAAACTTGTTTTTGTTAAAAAATGGACTCAACAGCTTCCCTTTTGTTAAAAAATATGGTCAATAACCCTATTTTTAAATATAAAATGAGATCTAATTGCAAAAAAATTATTGCCACAATAGGTTAAAGGCGTGTATACTAAACACACTTTTTTTACACGCTTTTAACCTATTGTGCAACAATATTTAGTTATAGTATTAATTATAGATGAAAAGTATTAGAAACATGCTTATTTTATCACAAAAGTGTGTTTAGTAAACACGTTTTTCACTAGTTTGTCCACAATTTTTCTGTAATTAGACCCCGTTTTTATCAAAAGGAGGCTTGTTGACTCCAGTTTAAAAAAATGCCATAATTTGATAAATAAATTCAAAAATACTATATTTTAGTATATTTATTTTTAAAAAAGCAGACCGATAAATAACTTGGCTGTTTTTTTTTCCCCCTAGTCTAATGGGCCTAACTTAGTCAGTTGACCAATCAACTGCCAGACAGCCCTGCCCCGATACTGACCCTCACCATGATTCGATCAATGTAAGCATCTCACCTAAGATCTGACGGGCCTACCTTTACCTATGCAAATGTTGTGTTGTGTCCG